AAAATTTAACGGAGGAGCCAAATACTCACACAAGCAGCAGCCAACCAAGCAGCAAGTATTCCACAGTGATAACACAGTGGACCAGGTTATCTGAGGAGCCGTCTCGCCCCGGTTATTTCAGCCCGCCCCACTTGGTCCAGCAGGAGGGGCATGTTGCAGACCCCACCAATACTCATTATTGACACATCTAGACATGTCAGAGCCATGATTCTGGGCATGCACAGGTATGCTTGCAATGGATGGGAGTGGATGTATGCATGTCCAGACATGTTCTAAGCACATGACTCAATGACATGACATTATCCATCTGCGCAGGTGTGTTTGGAATGGATGGGAGGGGATGTATGTGCATCTGGGCTTGTTAGAGCCTGTGATTTTGTCCGTGTGCTGAGTTGTTGATGTGTCAGCTACAGGCCACTGTGAAGTTCAATGGTTTAAGCTTTGGCTTGCATTTGAAAATATGGCAGACCCCGATGATGATTTGTCTGATGTAAAATTGACCCCCAAACATCTAAAATGTGGATATAGAATCAGAAAAAAACCTGATCCATGTTGCTTCTTTGATGAGAATGCTGAAGATGAACTTTTAGCTGCTTGTTATTGCAGGTTCTGCAAATCAACCACTGGTAAGTAAAAATAAATATTAAGAAAAATAGTATTTTATTAGTTGAACTGGTAGCTTAATTCTATCTTATTTCCTGTTAGAAATGAAACTCCCTCAAGATGCAGGATTGATCCAGATTCTGAAATGTTCTGTTATCAGGATCTTAAGTCATTGTTTAATGGGATGTCTACAAGAAGATGAAGACCAAGTCGATGGAGCCAATGAAACACAGTTTATTCAAAGTTTATGCAGTAGACTTTCCAAGCCCGAAGTCCTGTGGATCATCACATTTCCAACAAACTGGATAAATTATATTTCCCAAGAAACACACTGTGTGAACTCTGGGCATTCATACAATGCATTGAGAAAAACCCTAATCCACTTTCAGTAACATCAAACATTGAGGCTGAGTTACCTGTATCTCTGAACTGGATCATATGTCGGAATGTAACAGAAATTAATTACAAGAAGCTATTAACAACCACCCAGTGAATTTTATAATAAATATATATTTACAGGCCATGTGAAATCTGTGTTATTTCTTTTGC